AGGGGCCCCCTCTGTGTACAGAAGTAGTTGGTGTGACCTATTTCTGGGACCTTTTTTACCATTTTTGAGAGAGACACCGTTAATTCATTCTTTCTTTCTGAGGAATAAAATAACCCAGACACATTGATTATTAATCATTCATTTGGGGACTCTCCTCCCTCTTGAGCAATGACATAATCTTCAGTGAACAATATGTATACTGCAATTGACATTTGCACAAAAAAAATCAGGTTATATTGTATGCATCTGCACTAATAAAAATAGTCATCTTTCAAATCCTCCTGTTCAAAGTCTCACAGAACAGACTTCAATATCTATATAGTATTTATTTTGACCTTAGCCTCTCTGATCCCCCTGCACTGGGGAACTGTACAGCAATACAATATAATAGAAGCATATTTTATTAAAATGCACATTTAGACTGCAATCTTCAGAAGATCCAAAGTTAGGTGTACAGAAACCATTGCATCATTTGGAGGTTCAGCCCCTTTAGGCCTCCTATAAAATGCCAAGTATACATGTCACTCTGAAAGTCTGTTGCAAAATTATCTCCAAACAGTTACGCTGATGTGTCGTGTGATTGCAGTAACTCAACAGGTCATCTCAAACTGAGTCTATGCTTTTGCTTAAGATCCCTATTTTTGATATCATAGGTAATTTAATGTTATGGTAACGAAGAGTCATAGACAAAGATCAGTTACTCCTACTTGCAGATGAGTCACTCTTTCAGCATGTCCTACTTCCAGAATTATTTTTTTTGCTTTGGTTTGGTTTGCTTTGAGGAAGAATGAGGATGTATAACAGTTTCTACTTCAATTACAAAAGCATAAACTCTTGTTTTCAATCATAAAAGACATCCAGATGCATATGAACATTTGAGTAATTAGGAGACAGATATGTTCACTGTTGTTAAATTGGTTTATGTAGAGGTTCTGTTTTGGTATTAGGAATTGTAGTGAAAAACATCTGGGCTTACAGCAAGCAACTAGCTCATGAGAATTCAGGCTTTTTAAAAAATATGAGCCACTAAATGAAAATCTCAGTATTCATGTTAAAAGAATAAAATATTATTTGTGTTCAGTGTGCTACATAAAGCAACTTCTTTAAGCCTGATGGAGCAATCTTGAAGAAAGCAGTATGGGCCAGTGAAAGATGAAGAGCAGTAAGAAACAGAACACCTTTAAGCACAGGAAGGGCTCCATGTCATTAGTATATATTTTTACAAGTGTGGTAAGTACGGGAATCACAACAGAAAGTGCTGCATTTTGTTTTCAAAGTAGCATCTTTAAAAGAATACTGTTACAGAAATTAACTGCATTTTAAAGATTTTCTCTTGGATGAATCATCAAGTACTGTTACTTTAACCAGTGACTCTCTGCAGAAACAAATGTTGAAATGTATGAAAAAATATTATTCCTAAAGATTTTTTTTTGGAAAATATTACTAGTATAGTATTTTAATTTAGGAATAATTTAGAACTTTTATATTTGTATTTCCAATGTCAAACTCTTTTGTTCTCACACTTACACCTCTGTTATTAATGTTAGCCATGGTTTGCAAAAGAGGAAAAGCTAGTTATCAATGAATAATTCAGGCTCCATAACTGTCAGACCTCATTATTTTAAATAAGGCCCAGTAGTTCCAGTTGTAACTGGCTAATTGCATCATTTAAACTTAAACTGTTAGAATATTTCATATAATTAACAATTTTTAAAACTTTTAATACATTGAAAACTGCTGTAGTACATAAGGCAATTTCCTTTAAATCTGGTCGAGAGAACAAAGAGACATTCAAGTTGTGATATGAGCCCTCAAGTTGTTAAAATAAAAAGAAGAAAAACTGTGGTGAAATTGATGTATCCAGTAGTTAAAGCAAAACCCCATCATTAGAGTGAAATGATGTAAAAGACTTGTAAAAGGGGAAGTTGAAAAAATTAAAACACCTGAAACTAGTTAAAAATTAAAACACCTGCAACTAATGAACTAAGTTGTAACCTGACACCTGACGGAGCTCTGGTGCAAGATAGTTCAAGCTCTGTCATTGAAAATGTTTCTATTTTTGTGGCCATATTCTCTGCTCTGGTTTGTTTTCTGACAGTGAACATGCAATTCCCAAAGCAGCTACAAATAATGCCACGTGAAGACTAAATCTTCACTAAGAAGCTGAACCACTTTTTTTCCAAAAGGATCAACAGAGTAATTTTTATTTGTTAATAATTTTAAATTGTGATTAGATAATTTTAACAGTATTTCCATTTAGTTTATTTTATCTGCTGATAATTTAGCTTTAATAATACAGACTTGATAAAGTGAGAAGGAAATACACTTTACATACAGTTTTCTTCACATTGTATGCCAAGCAGAAAGAGACAAGGGTCATTTTTAAACTAGATGAATCTCAAAATGTTGTTCTAATCTTTTCCTTTAGCTGCATTTTCATATTACATCCAGCATATTTGTAAATGTATTCAGCAACTGTAACACGAGAGAAGTTAATATATACCTTTAAATGTGCCTACCAAAAAAAAAGACAATAGAACTCAAGCTTTTCCTGAAAGGTACTTGTATGTAGCACATTAAGACTTGTACAGTAAAGGAAGATTTTCTTCATTTTTTAAATGGGACACTCAAGTTCAAGGTAAGCTGTATATGATTACTATAGTCTCTGTTCCCTCTTCTCCATATTTCTGAACCAAAGCAAGTTTATCTGGGATTCAGTCTGGCTTATAGCTTTCATTGGAGACTGTAAGAGAAAACATGGTAGACTACCTGAGTGCTGTAAAAATGAAAAAGCTATATCTGCAATCTGAATCACTCCAGCATATTATTTCTTTCTTTATCTAACTAAAAAAAAAAAAAAAAAAAAAAAAAAAAAAGAAACAAAGCACGCGACCAAATAAAACCCCCCAAAAAACCCATCAAAAAAAACCCAAATACCCCCACAAACAACAGCAGTTAAAAAAACCCCAAAAAAAACCCTCAAAAATCCCCCCAAAAAATCCCTCCCAAAAATCCCCAAAAAAAACCTCAAAAATCCCCCCAAAAATCCCTCCCAAAAATCCCCAAAAAAACCTCAAAAATCCCCCCAAAATCCCTCCCAAAAATCCCCCCAAAAAACCCTCAAAAATCCCCCTAAACACCCTCAAAGCCACCCCAAAAAAACCCCTCAAAAACACCCCAACCCCCCCCCAAAAAGTCCCAAAAAATCCCCCAAAAAACCTCTCAAACACCCGCTAACCCCCCCAAAAAATCACCCCAAAATCCTTCAAAAATCCCCCCGAAAATCTCCCAAAAAACCCTCACATCCCCCCAAAATCACGCCCCAAAATCCCCCTAAAATTCCCCCCAACCCCCCCCCAAATCACCCCAACCCCCCCCAAAAAAAACCCAAAATAACCTTCAAAATCACCTCAAAATCCCCCCAAAATCGCCCCAAAATCACCCCCAAAAACCCTCTAAAATCCCTCTAAAATAATCTCAAACCCCTCCCAAAATCACCCCCAAAAATCACCCCCAAATTCCCCCAAAATCCCCTCAAAATCACCCCCAAGAACCCCCCCAAAAAAACCAGTTTTGGGCAATTTTGGGTGGATTTTGACGGGTTTTTTTTTTTTTTGGGGGGGGGGGGTGGGGGGTCTTTTGGGGGTCTTGGGGATTTTTTGGGGGGTTTTTTGGGGTCCCCTGGATTTCAGGGACCCCCCAAAAATCGGGGGTGAGGCCTCCCCGTGTCCCTTTTTTGGGGAGTTTTGGGGTATTTTGGGGTATTTCCAGTGTATTTTGGGCAATTTTGGGGGGATTTTGACGGGGTTTTGTTGGGGTTTTTTGGGGGTTTTTGGGGTTTTTTGGGGGTTTTTGGGGTTTTTTGGGGGTCCCCGGATTTCGGGGCCCCCCCGGATGATTCGGGGACCCCCAAAAATCGGGGGTGAGGCCTCCCCGTGTCCTTTTTTTGGGGAGTTTTGGGGTATTTTGATGGGTGTTTCGGGCGCGATTTGGGCAGTTTGGGGTGGATTTTGACGGGGTTTTTTGGGGGTTTTTGGGGGTTTTTGGGGTCCCCCGGATTTCGGGGACCCCCCCGGATGATTCGGGGACCCCCAAAAATCGGGGGTGAGGCCTCCCCGTGTCCTTTTTTTGGGGAGTTTTGGGGTATTTTTGTGGATGTTTCGGGCGCGATTTGGGCAATTTTGGGTGGATTTTGACGGGGTTTTTTGGGGGTTTTTGGGGGTTTTTGGGGTCCCCCGGATTTCGGGGCCCCCCCGGCTGACTGTGGACCCCCCCAAACCCGCAGGGGTGACGAGGACACCCCGTCCCCCACCCGGCACTCGGAGCCGTGGGGGAATTTTGGGCGTATTTTGGGCAATTTTGGGTTGATTTTGACAGGGTTTTTGGGGTTTTTTTTGGGGTTTTTGGGGTTTTTTGGGGGTCCCCGGATTTCGGGGCCCCCCCGGATAATTCGGGGACCCCCAAAAATCGGGGGTGAGGCCTCCCCGTGTCCCTTTTTCGGGGAGTTTTGGGGTATTTTGGGGTGTTTCGAGCATATTTTGGGCAATTTTGGGTGGATTTTGACGGGGTTTTTTGGGGGTTTTTGGGGTCCCCCGGATTTCGGGGACCCCCCGGATGATTCTGGACCCCCAAAAACCGGGGGTGAGGCCTCCCCGTGTCCCTTTTTTGGGGAGTTTTGGGGTATTTTGGGGTATTTCCAGTGTATTTTGGGCAATTTTGGGTGGATTTTGACGGGGTTTTGTTGGGGTTTTTTGGGGGGTTTTGGGTTTTTTTGGGGGTCCCCGGATTTCGGGGACCCCCCGGATGATTCGGGGACCCCCAAAAACCGGGGGTGAGGCCTCCCCGTGTCCCTTTCTCGGGAATTTTGGGTGCGTTTTGGGCGTATTTTGGGCAGTTTGGGGTGGATTTTGACGGGGTTTTTTGGGGGTTTTTGGGGGTTTTTGGGGTCCCCCGGATTTCGGGGCCCCCCCGGCTGACTGTGGACCCCCCCAAACCCGCAGGGGTGACGAGGACACCCCGTACCCCACCCGGCACTCGGAGCCGTACCCGCTCAGCAAAGCCCAGGCCGAGAGACTCGTCCTGGAGGCCAACGGGGCCCCCGTGAGTTGGGGGGGGACACCCCAAATTTGGGGGGCTTGGGGGGGTCGGGGGACCCCAAAATTTGAGGGGGGAAGGGTCTGGGGGCGTCCCCAAAATTTGGGGGGCTCTGGGGGTTCAGGGGAATGGGGGGACCCCCGTGAGTTTGGGGGGGGACACCCCAAATTTGGGGGGCTTGGGGGGGTCGGGGGACCCCAAAATTTGAGGGGGGAAGGGTCTGGGGGGGTCCCTGAAATTTGGGGGGCTCTGGGGGTTCAGGGGAATGGGGGGGCCCCCATGAGTTTGGGGGGGGGACACCCCAAATTTGGGGGGTTTTGGGAGGTTTGGGGGGGTCGGGGGACCCCAAAATTTGAGGGGGGAAGGGTCTGGGGGGGGTCCCCAAAAATTTGGGGGGCTCTGGGGTGTTCAGGGGAACGGGGGGACCCCCGTGAGTTGGGGGGGGGGACACCCCAAATTTGGGGGGTTTTGGGGGGTTTGGGGGGCTTGGGGGGGGTCGGGGGAACCCAAAATTTGAGGGGGGAAGGGTCTGGGGGGGGTCCCCGAAATTTGGGGGGCTCTGGGGGGTCCAGGGGACCCGGGGGACCCCCGTGAGTTGGGGTGGACCGGACGGGACACCCCAAATTTGGGGGGCTCTGGGGGTCGGGGGAGCCCAAAATTTGCGGGGGGAAGGTTTTGGGGGGTCCGAAAATTTGTGGGCTCTGGGGGGTTCAGGGGAAATGGGGACCCTGTGCGTTGGGGGGGGGACACCCAAATTTGGGGGGTTTGGGGGGTTTGGGGGGCTTGGGGTGGGGTCGGGGCACCCACAATTATTTGAGGGGGGAAGGGTCTGGGGGGGTGTCCCCGAAATTGGGGGGCTCCTGGGGTGTTCAGGGGAAGGGGGGACCCCGTGAGGGGGGGGGACAACCCAAAAGATTTTGTGGGGCCTGGGTGGGTCGGGGGCCCCCAAATTTGATGGGGGGGACGAAGGGGGAGGAAGGGTTCTGGGGGCTACACAAAAAATTTGGGGGGCTCTGGGGGTTCAGGGGAATGGGGGGACCCCCGTGAGTTGGGGGGGGACACCCCAAATTTGGGGGGTTTTGAGGGGTTTGGGGGGCTTGGGGGGGTCAGGGGAGCCCAAAATTTGAGGGGGGAAGGGTCTGGGGGGTCCCCAAAAATTTGGGGGGCTCTGGGGTGTTCAGGGGAACGGGGGGACCCCTGTGAGTTGGGGGGAGGGACACCCCAAATTTGGGGGGCTTGGGGGGGTGGGGGGACCCCAAAATTTGAGGGGGGAAGGGTCTGGGGGGGGTCCCCAAAAATTTGGGGGGCTCTGGGGGTTCAAGGGAGCGGGGGAAGCCCAAATTTGGGGGGTTGTCGGGACACCCCCGTGAGTAGGGGGGGACCCCAAATTTGGGGGGTTTGGGGGGATTTGGGGGTCCCCAACACTTGGGGGGGGTCCCAGTGGATTTGGGGGGGTTCCAGCGGGTCTGGGGGTTCCCCCCTAATTTCAGGGGTCCCCCCCTGATTTTTGGGGTCCCCCCCCTGATTTTTGGGGTCCCCCCCCCCAGGTGTCGGGGGGGGGTCTCAGTGGATTTTGGGGGGTCCCCAACACTTGGGGGGGGTCCCAGTGGATTTGGGGGGGTCCCAGCGGGTCTGGGGGTCCCCCCCTGATTTCGTGGGTCCCCCCCTGATTTTTGGGGTCTCCCCCCTGATTTTTGGGGTCCCCCCCTGATTTTCGGGGTCCCCCCCCAGGTGTCGGGGGGGTCCCGCCTGGTGACGGTGTCGCTGCGGCCGACGGGGATTTTTGGGGAGCGTCACCCCCTCCTCGAGCTCTTCTACCGCCGGGGGAGGGGCCTGGGGGGGTGGCTGCCCCGCACCCTCCCCCCCAACGCCGAGCACGGCAGGGTCTACGTGGGTGAGACCCCCCGAAAACCCCCCAGGGCCCCCTCAGACCCCTCTGAGCCCCCCCCTGGCACCCCTAAACACCCCCAAAACCCCCCAGATCCCCCTCAAACCCCCCCAAGACTCCCGACCCCCCTAAATCCCCCTAAATCTCCCTGACCCCCCTAAATCCCCCCTAAACCCCCCCAAAAACCCCCCAGATCCCCCTCAAACCCCCCCAAAAACCCCCCAGATCCCCCTCAACCCCCCCCAGACGACGAAAACCCCCCAGATCCCCTCCAAACCCACCGAAAAACCCCCCATGGATCCCCCCTCAAACCGCCCCCCGAACCCCTGACCCCCCTTTCCCCCCAGGGAACGTGGCCTGGATGCACATCCTGGACCCCCAAACCCCCCCCAATCCCCCCCAAACCCCTCTTGACCCACCTTTCCCCATGGTAACGTGGCCTGGCTTGCACTCCTGACCCCCACTCCCCATTTTCCCCCCAGGGAACGTGGCCTGGATGCACATCCTGACCCCCCTGACCCCCCCTGACCCCCCAATCCCCCCTTTCCCATAGGGAACGTGGCCTGGATGCACATCCTGACCCCCCAATCCCCTGTAACCCCCCCTTTCCCGTAGGGAACGTGGCCTGGATGCACATCCTGACCCCCCAAACCCCTCTAACCCCCTTTTCCCCCCAGGGAACGTGGCCTGGATGCACATCCTGACCCCCCTGACCCCCCAATCCCCCCTTTCCCCAGGGAACGTGGCCTGGATGCACATCTGGACCCCACTGACCCCCCTTTTCCCCCATGTACGTGGCCTGGATGCACATCCTGCCCCCCAATCCCCCAAAACCCCCTGATCCCCTTTCCCCCCGGGAATGTGGCCTGGTGGATGCACATCCGACCACCTGACCACCCCTTACCCCCCCAATCCCCCGTTTCCCAGGGAACTTGGCCTGGATTGCACATCCTGGCCCCCCAATCCCCCCCTGACCCCCCAATCCCCCCTTTTCCCCAGGGAACGTGGCCTGGATGCACATCCTGACCCCCCAATCCCCCCTTTCCCGTAGGGAACGTGGCCTGGATGCACATCCTGGCCGCCCGGGCCGCCCGACGCTGCCCGGCCTCGGTGGCGGGCGAGGTTTTCTTCTGCTACGACGAGTCCCCGTTCCTGGCCTACGAGGAGTTCAACCTGCGCCTCCTGGGGCTGCGGGCGGGGGGTCCCCGGCCCCCCCGGGCCCTGCTGGAGCTGCTGGCCCGGCTCAACGCCCTGCTGCGGGTCCTGCTGGGCCCCCTGGGGGGGTTCGCCCCCCTGCTCAACCCCTACACCTTGGCCGTGGCCTCCACCCCCTTCACCGTCCGCACCCGCAAGGCCCGGCAGCGCTTCGGCTTCCGGCCCCTCTTCTCCTGGGAGCAGGCCCGGGACAGGACCCTGGGGTGGGTCCGGCAGCTGGGCACGGCCTGAGGGGCAGGCCCGGGGGGGGTTGGGCTTTAATCCTGGTCCTGGGGGAGATCCGAGTCAGGATTTGGGTTTAATTCTGGTCCTGGGGGAGATCCGGGTCGGGATTTGGGTTTAATTCTGGTCCTGGGGGAGATCCGGGTCGGGGTTTGGCTTTAATCCTGGTCCTGGGGGAGATCCGGGTCGGGGTTTGGCTTTAATCCTGGTCCAGGGGGAAATCCGGGCTGGGATTTGGCTTTAATCCTGGTCCTGAGGGAAATCCGGGCTGGGATTTGGGTTTAACCCTGGTCCTGAGGGAAATCCGGGTCAGGGTTTGGGTTTAATCCTGGTCCTGAGGGAAATCCGGGTCAGGGTTTGGGTTTAATCCTGGTCCTGAGGGAAATCCGGGTCAGGGTTTGGGTTTAATCCTGGTCCAGGGGGAAATCCGGGTTGGGCTTTGGGTTTAATCCTGGTCCTGAGGGAGATCCAGGCCGGGATTTGGCTTTAATCCTGGTCCTGGGGGAAATCCGGGTCGGGGTTTGGGTTTAATCCTGGTCCTGAGGGAGATCCGGGTCGGGGTTTGGCTTTAATCCTGGTCCTGAGGGAGATCCAGGCCGGGGTTTGGCTTTAATCCCAGTCTGGAGGGAGATCCAGGCCGGGATTTGTGCCGGATCCTGATCCTGAGTCCGATCCGGGCCAGGATTTAGTTCTGCTCCTGAGCGGAATCCAGGCCGGGATTTGGGCCCGATCCCGGTCTCGGTGGAGATCCGGGCCGGGATTTGGGCCTGATCCCGGTCCAGAGGGAGATTCAGGATGGGTTTTGGCCTTAGTCCTGGTCCTGAGGGAGATCCGGGCCGGGATTTGCACCTGATCCCGATCTGGAGTAAAATCCAGGCCGGGTTTTACTTCTGATCCTGAGCAGAATCCAGGCCGGGATTTGAGCCTGATCCTGATCCGGAGTCAAATCCAGGCCAGGATTTGAGCCTGATCCTGATCCGGAGTCAAATCCAGGCCAGGATTTGAGCCTGGTCCTGCTCCTGAGGGAAATCCAGGCCAGGATTTGCCTTTAATTCCGGTTTAGAGGGAGATCCAGGACGAGATTCAGGTTTAATCCTGGTCCTGAGTGAAGTCTGGGCCAGGTTTTACTTCTGATCCTGAATGGAATCCAGGCCAGGATTTAGGTCTGATCCCAGTCCCAGCCTTGATCCAGGCCAGGCCTTGGCTCTGATCCCGGTCCCAAGGGAGATCCAGGCCGGGTTTTATTTTTAATCCCAGTCCCGAGTGAAATCCAGGCCGGGATTTGAGCCTGATCCCGATCCTAAATGGACTCCAGGCCGGGATTTGAGCCTGATCCCGATCCTAAATGGACTCCAGGCCGGGATTTGAGCCTGATCCCGATCCTAAATGGACTCCAGGCCGGGATTTGAGCCTGATCCCGATCCTAAATGGAATCCAGGCCGGGATTTGCACCTGATCCCGATCCTAAATGGACTCCAGGCCGGGATTTGTGCCTTACCCCGATCCCAACTAAACTCCAGGCCGGGATTTGGCTCTAACCCCAATTCCAGTCCTGGTTTTCCCCCCGTTCCCAATCCCAGTTTAATTCCAGTCCGGGTTTTCCCCCCATTCCCAATCCCAGTTTAATTCCAGTCCGGGTTTTCCCCCCATTCCCAATCCCAGTTTAATTCCAGTCCAGGTTTCCCCCCATTCCCAATCCCAGTTTAATTCCCAGTCCCAGTTTAATTCCAGTCCTGGTTTTCCCCCCATTCCCAGTCCCAGTTTAATTCCCAATCCCAGTTTAATTCCAGTCCAGGTTTCCCCCCATTCCCAGTCCCAGTTTAATTCCCAATCCCAGTTTAATCCCAGTCCGGGTTTTCCCTCTTTTTTTGGGGGGGGGAGAATTTTCCGATTAAAAAAAAAGAAAAAAAGGTGGAAAAATGGAATTTTTTGGGAATTTTTGGAGTTTTTTGATCGTGGTTTGGGGGGGGGGGGGGGGGGCGGGATTTGGACATTCCCACTCCCAGTTTATCCCAGTTTAAGG